GCTTCTCCCTCTGACCCTCCCCCCTCTCATGTGCTCTCTGTCTCTCTCATTCTCTCTGTCTCAAATAAATAAATAAAATCTTAAAAAAAAAAAGAAATAGGGTCCCCTACTCCTCCGCCATCTTTCCCCCGACCTACTTATTATTACCTTTTTGGTGATATGAATACTTAACATAAAATGTACCTCTTAGCAAGTTTTTTAAGTGTACAGTACAGTATTAACTATAGGCACTATGTTGTATAGTAGATCTCTAAGATACTTCTTCATCTTGCATAATGAAACTCTGTACCCTTTGACTAATACCTCCCTGCTTCCCTTTCCCGCAATTCCCTGGCAACCACCATTCTATACTGTCTATAAAGTATGACTACTTTAGATTCCTTATATAAGTGGCATCATGTAGTATTTGTTTTTCTGTCTTGCTTGTTTCACAACATAATGTCCTCTAGGTCTCTGTTTTTACAGATAGCAGAATTTCCTTCATTTATAAGGCAGAAAAATATCGCTTTGAATGTATATACCACATTTTCTTTAGCCATTCACCCACCGAAGGACATTTAGGTTGCTTTCATGGTTTGGCTATTGTGAATAATGCTATAATGAATATGGCAGTGCAGATATTTCACCTACTTATTTATTTTTTGTATTTTTATCTTTTTATTTTGTTTTTTTCCCATAATGATATATGTATTCCTTAATCCCAATCTCCTATTTCCCTCATCCCCCTATTCACATCCCCTTTGGTAACCATCGGTCTGTTCTTCATAATTAAGAGTCTGTTTCTTGGTTTATCTTTCTCTTTTTTTCCCTTTGCTCATTTGTTTTGTTTCTTAAATTCACATGAGTGAAATCATATGGCATATGTCTTTCTTTGACTCCCTTACTTTGCTTAGCATTATACTCTCTAGCTCCATCCATGTTATTGCAAATGGCAAGACTTCATTTTTTATGGCTGAATAATATTCCATTGCATATATATACCACATCTTCTTTATTCATTCATCAATTGATGGACACCTGGGCTGCTTCCACATCTTGGCTATTGTAAATAATGCTGCTAAACATAGGGGTGCATGTATCCCTTTGAATCAGTGTTTTTATATTTTAGGATAGATACCCAGTAGTGTGATTAGTGAATCATAGGGTAGTTTTATTTTTAACTTTTGAAGGGATGGGTGAAACAGGTGAAGGGGATTAAGAGCACACTTGTCATGATATGCACTGAGTAATGTACATAATTATTGAATTACTATATTGTATACCTGAAACTAATATAACACTGTACATTAATTATAGTGGAATTTAATACAAATACCCCCAAAATCTGTTATAGAATGAGTCTTAGACTTACCTTTATTGAAGAATGTGCTAACCATAAAGGCAAAGAATATTGAAGCAATGGCATAACACATAAGAAAGACGAAGATGAAACTACCGTCACTGAAGCGAAAGATTGGCTCACTAAAAATCTACAAAAAAACAATTATGACATCATGTAAGGTACACCATAAATACTGTCACATAAACACAAGAGGGAGAAAATGATAGTGCTAATGAGCTAGATCACTGCTCAGTGACTGAAACTCAATGAGATGAAAGTTAAGTAACTTATTTCTTACAGAAGGGTTTATATTTTTCTGAGATACAGCAGCCTCTGAGTTTCCACAGCATAAACAAATAAAATCTATATTTCATCCTCCTGGCACCTGAGACCAACCAGTTCACACTATAATTACCTTCTGCCTCCCAAAGGATAGCTAGGGCAGGTTATAATCAACTAGAACTAAGAAGTCTAACACAGAAACCATTAAACACATGTAGCTAATGAGCACTTAAAATGTAGCTAGTGTGACTGAGGAACTAAATTTTTATTTTCATTTCATTTTAGTTATCTTTATTTAAATTGAAAAATGAAGGCAGTGTCTAATATAGATCAAGTACTTCTGATGAAAATATAGTATATGAATTCAGATGTGCTGTAAATATAAAATACACACTGGAGTAGGAAGACGGTACAAAAAAATTTAGGGGTGCCTGGGTGACTCAGTCTTTAAGTGTCTGCCTTCGGCTCAGGTCATGATCCCGGGGTCCTGGGATCGAGCCCCACATCAGGCTCCCTGCTCAGCGGAAAGCCTGCTTCTCCCTCTCCCACTCCCCCTGCTTGTGTTTCTGCTCTTGATATCTCTCTCTGTCAAATAAATAAATAAAATCTTAAAAAAAAAAAAAAAA